ATTATCTCTAACCATACTGTATTCGAAGGGAAGCAGTTAGGTATCAATGAGAATCGATGCCTGATTATAAAGAACGTCTTTTCTTTTTGGTCGGACTGGTTATGATCAACTCAATGGCAGTGGAATATATTAGTAAATTCTACATCTTCCCAAGCTTAGTTTAATTTCTATTGAATATAACTCGCGCACTCTGCATCTTCCTGATCTTCGTTCAATTTGTATGTAATACTACTCGTGAACTCTATATCTTCCTAGACTTAGTTTAATTTGTATGGAATACAACTTACAAACTCGATGTCCTGTTAAATTCTATAGTTACAAAAGTAAAAAAGTTTTCTTTAATTTTTTTAAAAATTATGTTAAAATAACTATATATTGATTTTAATTTTTCTACGAAAACGTTATCATATAATATGATGCTTAGTGACTCGTTCGGAATAATGTTTGTGATGATCAAGAACAATGAATATCAATATGCAAAGAACGTATATCGTTCACAAAGATATTGGCTTGATAGTAAGTAGATGTAGCGACAAACTGATATTATCGTTTCGTGGCTGTCTTTATTTTAACTAATGCCTTCCTCTTTTATGCATTCAAAATATCAGAAATCATCTAAAAGAACATTAGAAAAAGAGAAAGAGAGTATTGTATATCTATTTTACAAATGCATGCATGCATGCATTTAATAAATTACGCAAAAGCATTATAAAGTAATTCAACCTTCTGAGTTTGTAGATGAAGATGAAGAAAAAAGCTCTCATACATTCACTCTTACTCTTTCTTAACCATATCAATTTTGAACAAGCTCTACACAATTAATCGATCAAAACTTACTCTCGAATTAACATAATTATTGATCTATATATATATGAAACAGAAGTTTTGTTTGATATGGTCAGTATTAGGAAGCAAGAAAATAATCATTTCAACAATATAGTAGTATTGTTAGGTATTTTTCAGAAATGATTGGTTTAGCAATGATCTTATCTTGTATAATATACTATCTCAACACGTCCCAAATCTATCTCGTTCGATTGATAAAAAATTGTGGATTGCTAGCTATTACCATTTCGGAGATATTCATCTTTACATCGACCTTATGCAAGCCTGTTGTCAACAATAAATAGAATAACATCTAAATTGCGTGATCATCTTCTTATTTATTATTCACTCAGTTTTTTATTTCGAGTGTCTAAATACATACATGTGCATCAATGTCTCATATTACAATTGAATATGTTATAAAGTGTCACATATTTTATTTGATTTTAATGTAAACTTACATTTTTACTTATCAATGACGTCAAATCGTAGAAATACTTTTACCAGTTAAATTTGAATTGAATGTGAAGAAATCAAGTTCAAATTTTCAACGATAGTCTTCAAAGTATACAATTATCTGTAGAAAAAAAACGATTTTAACAGAAATTCAGAAAAACTACGATCTTCGACCCAGATTCTATTTATAATTCGACACATCCAGTTGTTGATCTCAAAATGAAATGAAATGATCAAGTTCATTAATATGCCTAGAATTCCAAACAAATACTTGCATCTATTCATTGAAATACACATTTTCTTGGATCTTCATCTAATTTTGTTGAAGTTATTGTACGAGGTAAACTTTCAATGTAAAATCATAGTTTATCATGTATAATTGAGTATTGATGGATGTAAAAGGGAATATACAAAAGACAACATAATTCGAGACTTCAAATAGGAAGAAAATTAGCAGTAATCTTGCTAAGACAATTATCTATTATTTTCAAAAAAAGTTTAAAAAACTAAATCTAATTTAAATAATACGCATTAATAAAAAGAACAGATTTTAATTCATATTAATAGCGAGAGTAGCGCCATCAGAAAAGAACATCGATAGGATTGGCTAGAAAATGACTATGATTTTTAGCAAATAGCAAAATATGCATGTATCCAACTCATTTTGTTGTTGTGACAAAAAAAATGAATGATTTCAGAGTACTTCTTCACTTTAATCACAGCGCCCTCACCCGCAACGTTGTGTTGTGCATGTAAATCACACCAATCAGTGTGCACATGTGATTAAAGTACAGAAGAACCGATTTCAGTTTTTATATCGGCAGAAATTTTAGTTTAGAAAGTCACGCCTCAGTAAATATCATCGGATTTTGTCAATGACACATCCTCTACTCCCATTAGTCAATCAGTTAAAGCTGTATTGCTATCAAAACTCGATGATATTCGATTTTATTTAGATTTTAATACTTCTTATACGATCCGTATACATTCAGTTCTTCGTATAATTCCATTTTATCAAAAATAACATGATCTTTTTCATGATGACTAACAACAATATTGGTAAATTGCTTTTGAATTTTTCATATGTTTTGTTCATAACAAAATATACATTTTAAGATTATTCGATTCTCATTGTCTTCGCAAATTAGTCGAATTAATATATGGCAATCGGAAAAGAAAACAATTTAAAAACCGAGCATTACCAATGAGGTCGTGGTACAAGATTCATGTTGAATATCCCTACTCTTTTTTTTTCTTACAAGACTCATTTGATATTTGGTTTTCTACAGATCTTCTCTTGCCATTTATTTGCAGTGAACGTGCATTGGCTTATGCTATGCAACTGAAAAGTACATATATGAATAAACTGTAAATAAGGAACTTTTCATATATTTAATTATAGAAAAAGCAAAGACAGAATCTCGAAAAAAAAAATTCATCGTTCAAATTCGTTCTCGTAAAATAGTCGAATATGCTGAACAACTTGAATTATGATATAATCAATGGCAGGCATGCAATGCTCGTATGAAAATTGAAGTTCAAGTTAAACTTCAATACACCAAATGTTTGCTTATCGAATTCTCATTTCTGCAGACATGCACAACTGTTATCAATGATCATTTAACATTTGAAATACAATCATAGACTCAAGCAATAAAATTTTTATATATATGCGCAGTAAGTTCATAGATGAATATCATGCGTAATAAAAACATGTTTGTTGCAATGATTAGAATCATTAATGATATTCTACAAATAGTTAGATCAATAAATCGATGATTTAGTAACGCATATTCGATTTTGTTGATGTAAAAGTCATGATAAAAATATTGCAAGAGAGTAATAAAAAAAAAATCTAAGAGCAAAAACAGTAAATGATGACTCAGAAATGACACGTATTCTTGATATTAGTTTATCTATTTTTTATTTGATTGAAAATATATATTATCAATGTAGTCTTCTAGACACTTCTCAATGACACATATCAACAACAAATATCATCAATGTCAAAAAATCACCTAGCAACAAAATCAAATGCAAATAATCGTTTATTCTTCCTGAAATAACAAAAAATTGAAACAACATCAGTTTAAAAAACAAATTACGGAATCAGCTAATATTATATACATATATACGACTTATTACTGCAAGTAAATTATAATATACGTGCAATACCAGTTTTGTAGATATGATAAAATAAGTCAATCGAATATTGCTTTTCAATTAACTGTTTATAAAACTTACAGATTTGATGAGTTTCTTTTTTTATTAAAGATAATCAGAGCTAAAGTCCATTGAGTCCAGAAATTTTTGAACCGGGATTCGATAAGCTCTAGCGAGGACGCGAAGAGGATTTGTCGTAAGATATAATCAAAGTTCTTCCAAATTGAAGAAACTTCTATCACAAAGTTCTAAAGCAGGATGGATTAGTCTATCTCATCACGTCACACTTATTTATAATTATTGAATAAAGTAATTTGAGTTTTTTTGATTAATTGTTATTTTATTTATTCAACAAAAACGTTTTAAACAATCAGTTGAATTAATTAATAAAACGAAAATGTATATGGAACATACAAAAGTAAATAACAAACAATGCATAAGAAACAAAATCACGTGACATTAATTATGAAATGTAAACTGAAAAGAATTAATATAAAAATATTTTAGGCACTTTTAAATGAATTTTCTTTTATTCAATTAAAACTTGATGAAGTTAAATATCAAATTTAAACATCAGCTAACGACATTTCACCAAAATAATCATTCGTTAATGTTTTTTTACTTGATGAATAAATAGAATTCGGAAGAAAAGAAATGATTTCATCGTAAAACGTAATACAAATTTCTTTGATACTTGGTTTTTTTTTAGCCATTCATCAATCGTCGTGATATTTATTTCGAAGATTCATCATTAAAAAATAAAAATCGTCTTAACATGGTTCTGTTGTCAACATTATTCAAAACCCATTTTCTTTGATTTAGCTCTAAATCATCTAATATTTATATTCTTAGATGATAAAGTGTACAGTAAACGAATTATTTCAACAACATTAAAACTAATCTAATCGGTTTTGTTAAAGATTTATTTTCTTCGAATGGTAAAAAGTAATAGATTTGTGTTTATTGGAAAATAAATTAGTCATTTTATTATTGAACTCGATTAGCTAGTCAATCATTCTTCATTTTAGATGAATAATTCTTCTAATCGCTGTGTAAAGAAGCCGTTGCACAACATATTGCGTCGATTTTCGTCCATGTATAAGTTACGGAAGAGAATCAACAGTAATCAGGTAGAATCAAAATTTCATGCTCATGCTTAATGATATAATCAGAAAAAAGGTTGTAGTATGGGCTCAGTATCCTAACAATATCTCTAGAGGGGCTTCAGCTCCTATTTATGTGGATCTCAACTATTGATGGGGGCTAAGCTACTGCTGGTTTCTGTATAGTTAGGCTATTACTCTTTCAAACCATATATTCAGAATATTTTTCTTGCTTAAAATTAGTTCATTGCAAGTTAATATTTGACGGAGAGCAATGAAAACCCTGATTCTAGGTGATAACTTTTGATTCTCTCATTAGACAAATACTGACTAAACATATATGGTGCAAAGACTTTTTTACACCTCGGCTAGTACATAGAATCTTCAAAAACTAAAAACATAATATATTCTATTAACTTGAATATATTTATTTTAGATATAAAAAAAAATTCCATGGCTGATTTAGATGATATTGGAATTGAAATAAATGATACCGATGAGCGATGTATTGATATTATTGAAAATTGTCCATCACCTCCACCACCATTCCATCGAGATAATATCCAACAAGAAATAATTATTCAACCACCTGTAATATTTAATGATCAAGAACAAAGGATTACTTTAAAAAATATTGTTCCATTTGATAATATTTTTTTTAATGATGCAAAAATTTATCTATTTGAAACAATGAAAAATAATTCATCAATATTAAATGAAACAAAGAAAAAATCAGATCAAAATTTCTTTCAACGTTTTATAAATTTTTTTCGTTCAGCCATAACATCACATAATACATTAGAATTTAATCGACAATGTGAAGAATTACTTAATTTAACAACATATTCATGTAATATGTCTGATTGTATTCATATACGTATTTTATATACAATTTATCGTCGTTTAACAAATTCAAAAGAAATTTTTTATACTACACTTGGTCCACATTGGGAAGATATTGGTTTTCAAACATCAAATCCTGAAACAGATTTTCGTTCAACTGGTCTTTTTTCAATATTTTTTCTTCTTTATTTTGTTGATTCAATGTATTTACCATTAGCAAAACAAATTTATCAATTTTCACATGATGAACAACAACAATTTCCATTTTGTTGTGTTGGTATTAATTTAGCTAATATACTTATAAAATATCTTCGACGAACAATAGCTCGAATGAATGTAGAAAAATTAATTGATGAAAAACAAACAGATCATACAGCTATTGATTTATCTGGTAAATTATTTATTGCACTTTATTTAAATTTTTATTTAAAATGGAAAGATAATTTGTATACAATTGAATATACACAACAAGTATTAAATGAACTTGAACAATTAATAATGAATCGACCAAAAATTTTACTTGAAGAATTTGATAATTATTTTCAAAGAAAACAAATTGAAAACAAACATGAAAAGTCACAACAATATGAATATAAACAAACAAATGAGAATGTTTTTTGAGAAATAAAATTTTTCAATATTTCTTTCTTTGTATTATAAGTTAATTGAAAATGAGTTTAAACTAATGGATTTAATTATTTTAGTCGAATCCGTCCATATTCATAGTTTCTTCGAAATTTATTTTCAGCTCAAAATCCATTTTTTGTGATATGCGTATTGTTTGTTCGTTTTTTTTTTGTAATATTTATTATGAATCATTTGCACATATTTTCTTTTTAAGAAATAAAATAACATGACTTTATATGAATAGGAAATTATTTATTTTCATATTTTTAAGATAGAAATTATTTCATATAACTGATTATTACTTCCATTAAAATAATGATTCGAGATATAATTGGTCTTATTTTATCTATTTTTGTTGCTGGTGCAATGATTTGGGCTTGTAGTTTTGAAATTCAACATCTTATAATTGGTGAATTAGTAACATATAGTGGTGGAAAATATAAATTTTTAACAATAATAAATATAGTAAATAGAAACTAATATATTTGTTATTGATTTAACTAAGATTTATTTATTGTAAATTTAGCATATTCAAGCAATTTATTTTTGTTTATGTATAATTAATTTCTTTTTTGGTTCGAATACACTTGTAAAAGAAAAACGTTCATTATTACAAAAACTACGTGATTGTCTTTATGCTGGTATTGCTTTTCCAATGGGACTGGTAAGAAAAATTCTTTTTTTTTTTAATTTTCATACGATACATATTATCTCTTATTTAGTTTGTATCCATTACATTTTGGGGTTTATATAATCTTGATCGTAAATTAATCTATCCAGAAGAATTAGATCAATTCATTTCACCAATTCTTAATCATGTTTTGGTAAATATTTAAAATTATTCATCATTTTGTCGAACTCACATGATGTTTTTCAAAGAAAACTAGTGGGTGTAAATTTTAAGTCAAGGTTTTGACAGTTCCACATCTCTAGATCCTAGTTGCTGAGTCAAAGGTTATTGACTCTATTTCCATAGTAATTGAGGACAAATGAGCACTAGAATGGTGGTCAATAATTTCTTAGCAACGGAAGAAGACACTGAACGATATTAACAACAAGACTAAGACGGTTCTAGAATATTCTAGTCTTCATTGAATTTTCAATGACTAAAATATGTATTTTAAAGTTTTAAATAACATAGCTTCTGACTTTTATGTAGATAAACGATTACATTCAAGATATCAAGGATGATGAATTGATTTGCCACAGTTAACATATGATCAGTACAAAAAAAACATGAACTAATCAAGTTGAAACTTTCAGAGATAATCAATATCAATGTTTCTCAACTTATCGATATACATGAAAGGAAGTTAGGACCTGCTGTAGATATAGTAAATCTGTATAACAAGCTTACTTATCAGTTAAGCCTAATAGTAAGCAGAATAACAATAATAAATTGCGAACAATAAAATAATAAAATAATAAAAAAGAAAACAAATTACGAGCGAATAGCAACAATACAAAGAAAAAAAAGAACGTCAGTCAAAAGAAACACACTATTTCTATTCGTAACGTAGAAATCGAGGTATTTTCTATTAGTATAATGAAGCTAAAGAAGATATATGAGTGTGACATTTTTGGACCCAAATTGGCTACGTTAACAAGCTTTGTTACCTGATACAATGTGTTTTTTTTCTTAGCATACGTTACCGGCAATCGCTGTTTGCCTTGAAAATCTTGTTCATAACCATCATTATCCATCACGAATATTAGGTCTTTCATGCAATATAATTGTATGTGTTACATATGCAGCATGGTAAGTAATTATTTTAATACTTTTTTCGTTTTGTTATAAAGTTTTTGATTGTTATTTAGGATTCATTATTTGAATTATATTCATTGGGTTGAATTTAAACGAAGTCTTTGGGTTTATCCAATATTAGATGAATTATCATTTATATATCGTGAACTATTTTTACTTGGTTTGATATTATTCAATGTTGGACTATATTTCATCGGAGAGATGTATACATTATTTTTGACAAGTAAATATGATTTTTTTTTCATTGATTGGAAAAGTTTTTTGTATTTTGTTAATTTTAGATTTACAAACTGAAAAAAATGTACGAAAGAAGAAGATATCTTAGATTAACTTTCTTTAATATTTTTTTTAATATTTTTGCTATTTGTTATTCTTAATTGATGTATTCAAATAAACTAGATTCCCCACTCTTTTTTTTTCTTGGTATTGTCAATCTATTTTTGTTTACTAACTATGATAGATGCCTGTGCAAAAGATTGCTTATGCGCATCGATTTGGTATTATATCAACATCATATAAAGAAAAAATTGAAAAAGATATACGCCAACGACAACAACAAGAAAGTGATCGATCATCATCAGCATATAGTGGTGAACATAGCAAGTAAGTATTATTTACAATAGAATCATCAATTTCAATATATATTTTATTTTGTATTAGAAAATATTTAATACTCGAAGTAACTGAAGAATTTGTACGTGACTATAATCGAGCTTCATCCAGTGAACGAATTAAACTTAATGAACTTATTTATCGAATGTTACAACGACTTAAAGTAAATCAAAAAACAATAAATAAGATATCTAAAAATAATATCTATTTAGAGAAAAGCAGCACAATGTCAAGTGCATACAAATCGACCGATTCAATTACAAATGGCTTGGTATAGAGTGTTCTTCTAAATTATTATGATTGACAATTGTTTTGTTTTTGTTCTATAGGGCTGAACTTTGTTTGTTATCCCAATGTAAATCATGTTATCAAGAAGGTATATATGAAAATAGAAAATTGTTTTAATAATAAATAATTTTTTTAATTAGAATGTTTAACAACACTTTATCGAGCTTTGATTTATAGTCCATTGAGTGCAACTCAAATTCCAACATTATTTTTTCTCTCAGAAACGATTCTGTATTGGCTTAAAAATGATGCTATACTTGAACCATTTCTTACATCAACTGAATTGAAATTGTTAAAAGTAAGAGAAAGAAAAAAAAAAACAATGGTTGTATTAAATGAAAAACATTTATATAGATTGGTCAAATCGTTTTTCAATTATTATATTTTCATTACTTAGAAGGTATATACAAAAAAAAATATTATTTTTTTGCTTATTTTTCTTTCTTTAGGCTCAACTGGACCTTATGAAGAATTTAAAATTCGTCTTCATACATATTTAGAAGGTAGATCAATTATTTTTCTTTATTGAATATTATCATCGAATATAATTTTTTCAGGTCTTGACGAATGTGAATCTGCTTATTCTTCATATCCAAATGCTGTTTGGTGTATTCATTATATTGAATCTATTGGTTCTATTCTTGTTGCTAGTGTTGATAAAAATGTACTAAATTCACGACGTAGTATTTCATCAGCAGCAACTCATCCAGCACCACCAATTCCATCTGAAGATTATCGTGAAATAAATAAATCTGAATTAAGTGCTGTTGTTCAAGAATTATCACCAATTATTTGGCATTCAGTTGATGTTTGGTTATTTGTTAAAAAATATTCAACAAATAATTTATCTGAAATTATGAATCATTATTTTAATGAAACAATTCTTTCATTAATTGCTTGTCGACATAAATTAATCGATGAAAATTGGTAGGAATTATTTTCATATTCAATATTAAATAAAGAAAATTAAAAAAAATATATATATCAAAATATTGTTATTTATATATAGGATTGATGTTGTTTTGGCTTTACAAATATTATCAGATGTTGCAAAAACAAATATGGATATGTTAGAAACAATTCAATTATTGGCTCAACGTAAAAATAAAATTTTTTTTGAAAACAAAAATATCTTCTTGTTTTTTTTTCTTTAACTTGTTTAGCTGAATCAACTGCTCAACTTCCATTACATAAACGTGCTGATTCTCATTTATTATCTCGTGGTTGGCGTTCATGGTCATGGCAATTAATTATTCTTTTATGTGAATGTCTTACATCAATATGTATTGGTACAAATCAAACTATAATTAAACGTACTGTTTTATTTGGTAATGAAACATCATCAGATAATATTCTTATTTATGCAAGTGATAATCAACATCCTATAAATGAACAAAAAACTTTTACAGAAAGTAGTACATCACGTGGAAATGATGATAATGTTTGTTTAATGCACATGATGCATTATCGAACAATAGATGAACAAGGAAAAATAAAAACTGATAATGATGATGATGATGATAATAATCAATCATGGCGTATTCGATATATGGGTCTTTTATGTATGTCACAAATATATAAACATTTACAAAATGAACCACGTCATAAAACATTAAGTAATTTACTTTGGATGTTTATACATGAATATGAAAAACGTGAAAAAGATGATCGAATACTTGAAGCACTTAAAGTTGGACGAGTAAAAAAAAACAAATACTGATATTAATTTTATTCTTTCGATTTTGAAATTGTCTAATTTTTGTTTCAATTTAGTTTGATGATGATATAATTCAAACATTAAAAACTGATATAATAGATAATCAATTAGGTACAATTTATAATAGTATGGCTCAACGTTTAGCTGATGGATTATTACCAGATCCAACACCATCTGAATTACGATCAGCAAAAGTAAAATTTAATAAAAAACCATCATTTAAAAAAAGTCAATATGTTATAACATCACAATGTCGTGATCGATATCATCTTAGTATACCTTCTGTTCCACCCTCAAGGTTGAATTTTATTTTTTTAATTAAATATTGACTATTTATTTGATTTATTATTTTAGAGATGAGAAAAAGCCTATTCAAATAAAGCGAATTATTGAAAATAATATCAATGATGTATTTAAACGAAAAGAACACATATTACAAAATATCGTTGTTGATCAAGTTCGTTTTTTTTTCTCCTTGATCTTAATTATGAAATGGGTACTCGTTTAGCTGGTGTTTCCCGTCATAAAAAGTGTTCCACAGTGTAATGTTATAACATCACTCGGTGGAACATTTTTAATGAGGGAGAACATTAGCTTTAATGTTACTAGTCA